TGTGACTTTAGTAAATCAACAGAAAAAACAGATCCAACAGGCAACATTTAACATTATATAAGTCCATGTATTATATAGACATCCAACAGGAAATTAGCAGCATTTATTACTCACATACATGGAATGCTTCTTTCCATATCCAAGGACTCTCCTATGTATTACAGGAATCAAACTTGTGTCTTTTCGCTATTAAATTCTACTCTTCTTTGCCTGTGCTGGAGCCACTTCAGTTTCTATGTCAGCGCTTGATCCTTCATGCTCCATGCATGATCTTTTTCTGGATGACTCCATTGGATAGGAAGATTCAGGTATGCCCCAGGAGGGTAAATTGGAGCCCTCTATCTCAGCAGCAGCTGCTTTGCTTGTACCATCAGGGTAGGCAATTTCATTGTTAATGAAATTTGAATTCCTGAACTCATCAGCATCTTGCTGGTTTGTACTAGATTGATTTTGAACCCCATCATGGTTATTAGGAGCTTCAAGCGCTCCAAACAACTCATCAAGGTATAACCCGTCCAAGTATGAATAACCAAAGTCAAACAAGTTCTGAATCATAGACAAGCAAATATTAGTTCTCCATATGTTCATACCATCTATATGGTTAAATAATTTAAAAGTTTCTCACCATTTGACTTACATCTGCTATAGGATGGTTATTGAAATTATAAGACAAGTCCAAGCCCTCATTCCCCGCAATGACGTTATGTTCATTGCTTCTTTCTACAGGGTAGTCTACCTGCAGATTCTGAGACATCCACGAAGAAACAATAGGTTTTGATATGCTTATAATCATCTACATGAGCAATTGATTAATAAAATTTCCAACAAGTATTCTTACTTGTGGAATTGCATCATGTGCAACATAGTTTTCAAAAGTACACGGTAGGTTGGAGACTTCATAATCATTCACGTCACATCTTTCTTCGGGGTAGGTCTCGTAATTATCAACAGGGACTTGTTCACTAACGCTAGACTGATTTTGCATCCAATCGTAGCCATTAGAGACTTCCATCTCTACTAATGGCTGGTCAAAGCCTAGTTGGACCTGAAACATGGATAAGCATAAGCTTGTTTGTGAGTGTCCGTCATCATTGACATGAAAAACCTGTATATAAGCTTTTGCAAAAGAAATCCAACCTCTGAAGTTGGAATATGATTTCCTAAGCAAGTAGAAGGCAACTGTTGACTTGTTTCACCTTTGCTACTTGAAATGTTGGTTGGCTCAGATTGTTTCATCAATTTACCAAGAAAAAATTCATTCTACACACAAATAAATGGGAATAAAGAAGTGTACATTCATGTATACACAAAACAAAAAAAAGTATAATATAAATGTTATCAAACTTTCAGGGAATAGAGCAGAACTCACACACCCAAATTTATCCTTTTTATCCGTTGTGAATCATTTAGGCAGTGATCTCCAGCTTTCTAATTGAGATTTTTTTTATAATTAACAAAATTTTGCAATTCATTAGGAAATCGAGACAAAATTGTGCACCAAAGTGCTTGAAATAAATACTATATCAGGCTAGCAGCCGAAAAGAACTTACTTGCAGGTTAGGATGAACATCAGTAAGTTCGTACTCATACAGTACCCAGGGGGTCTTGTTATGATAGCTATTTGTGGTCTTAGCTTTGCTTTTGTTGTCGTTTTTCTCATTAACTGCACTCGTAAAAAAATACAAATGTCTCTTGATGCCAATCTCTTTGTTGGAGTCACTAGCCCTGACCTTAACAGGGTTACCTGAGGGTTTCCACTTTCCCTCGTTGGTGGCTCTATTGATCGGCTTCCGCTTACCATTCACCTTGTTCATCATCTTCGGCTTAGTTTTCGGATTCTTGTACGTCACAGGATAAAGGAAATACCACACCGGATCACTTGATGTTGCCATGGAAAGCCCTATGGAGATTGAAAACCGGTATGTGCGTATACGCACACACGCACGCGCACGCCAAATATTTTGTCAGCAAGTATCCCTAAACAAAATTCTAAAACATGAACTCGATACGTACCGGGTAAATCCCAAGGTTCCCACTTGCAAATATCGATCCCAAGATCAGTAATATCTTGGACAAAGTAATCACCGCCGAGCAGTGTTCTGTTTCGTAGATGTCCGATGAGCTCTCCATCGGATGGTCGGAATCCATAGCCCTTACTGAAATTGTTCATTTCATAGGATTTTCTAGCAGAAACAAGAGAATAACAGCTAAAGCGAGCTTTGCTTTGATGGGTTATACGTTGCTTTCCCACAAGAGGAGAGGAACGCACTGACTGAGCGAGGAGTGAGTGAGTGACGAATGAATAAATATATATATATATATATATAAAATAATGAAGCTATGACTCCTTCGCTCTTGCGTTATGGAAAATATTCTAGGTGGACCCCACCAATTGCTCTTGTCTCCTCTGTCTGGAATTTCCAAGCGGGTGCATCTTCTGTCCTGCTTCTTTTGCTTTGGAAGGTCTATTAACCTATGTACTCTTATGTCTTTTGCTCCCTACAGAACAACAAGTTGTAGAAATGATTTTGATTATGTTTGAAATACTAGAATCTTCTATGACAGGCATCCTATTGGTTGATAGTATATATTATCTGAAATTATTTTTTATGTTATTTGGCTTCCGGAATCATCTATGTCATGCATGAATGTATGGGTGCTGCATCAGAGGTTGTTTGAGGTGTTGCTGCCTTGCCATCTTTTCCTCCTTGCTTTTCTGCTAGTTGGTTTCCTTCTTTTGTTTCAACAAAGTTTGCAACCCAACTCTTTTCAATTTTAATGTAACCTAACAACTTAAAATGCTTATGTATCAAAAAAAAAAAAAAGGAACTGACTATATACGATCACAATATGCTAGCAGCATAAAAGTTTCCAAGGATCCTGATAATTTCAAGAACCTTGTCCCTGTTGATAAAAGCACACCATTGTGTCAAAACTATAATCCCATTCTAAACTAGCTTTCTTGCAACTTGTCATGAATCCAGAACTTTCTTAACAGTAAACCAGACAATGGCTCCCATGATATGTTAGTTTTTCATAAGGTTTAAAGGTCAGGTTCAAAAGCCTTTATTTTCTCAGTTCTTGGACAATTTCAATAGTTAGAATTAGTATTATTAATCTTTTTTTCAATCCTTGCATGATAACAGTTTCAATTGTTAGAATTAGTATTAACAAGTTAACATCATTCTATTTCCTTGCCTCCTCTTGGGATTGTTCTCTTCTCTACAGTTTCAGATTTCTGTAAGCCTTTTTCATGGGATTGGATCTCTAGGCACTGCTTTGAGAAGAAAGTTAGCTGAATTTGAAGATAAACAATCATTGAGAAGATTAAAAGTGATACAACATTATTATTCCTCCTCATTGCTGGGTACTGTGTATTCCTTGTCTCTATCTTAACTTGCTGAGTAAGTAATGCCTGTTTATTAAAGGGAGGGTGTCAAGCTTTCTGGCGTTAAAACTCAAAAAATATGAAATCTGGAAACTAATGAATAACGCCTCTTCTATAATAATTGTACAAAATTTATAAAAAATGAATAATTGGAATCTAGGCAACCTCTATTATAGTTCCCTGTGGTTATCGAAGTGTAAAATAAAGGAATAAATACAATATGAAATGAAATTCTGTCACTCTTCATCTTCAAGGCCAGGTATGTATTCCAAACTCACATCGAAAATGACTGGACTACTTGGAGCCACCCGTGGCCTTCCTGGAGCTGAAGATAGACCCTTTGGGAATGCCAGCTGATCACAAACCAGAAAGAAGCATCAAACGAGGAATGTTAGATTAAAAGGCAGTGATTTTGAATGTACTTTGACATGAAATGGGAACCATTACTTGTAAGGGAAAGGGCAGTTTTCCTAATAGGCTTGCTTGGAAAAAAAGTTATTCCATGAGTCAGTAGATTAAACAAAAACAGAATAAACATATATGCCAATTAATCCTCATTAATTCAAAGCAGTAATGTTTCACCTTCAGCTTGCTGGAAGCTTTATCACCAACAGCCCAATGTTTCGTCTTTCATATAAATTTAACCCTACTCTATAAAATTGATTCTGCCTATTGTCTACCACAGGACACCAAACATCTGCAGTTTTTTCATCTCTGCTACTTGATAATTTCAGATGTACATATGATCTCATCTACTTCTGAACTCAATTAAGCAAATATCATGGATTAATTTAGCTCAACTACTTTCAAGGAAAAAATGGTTCTGCTTGAAAATTTGATAATATAAACTAGCTTACCGGTCCTGGGATATAAAGTCTGCGTTTCCCTCTACTTTCATGGTCAGGAGACCCTCATCAAGTCCCTTGATCACCTGTTCTACTCGTTAGATGAACAGTTAGTACTGCTGAGGAATCGCATGAACTTTACTAGATCCAAAAAGGTTTTACGTACAGAAAAAATTCATTAACTATTACACTTTACATTTTATTTATTTTCCAAGCACATGAACCAGAATTTTTATAATCAGAATCAGAGATAAAACACTCCTAGAGCTTTACCTGACCAGAGCCAACACGAAATATGTAGATCTGACCTTTCTCCAGTGAACTACAAATCATTGGGGAGAAGGGGAGGAAGGGGGGGGGGGGTGGGGTGGGGTTTCAAGTATCAGAATTCTGCATATGCTTCACATGCTCTATCATACCTTATCAAGTTGGAAACAATTTACAAAATTAATATGCTTACCTGTCAAATATTTGTCCAGAAGGAACCATGGCAACATAATTAGCAGCCACCTGAGAAAAATATGATGGCAAAGTCACAAGAGACAGCTCATAATTCATGAGTAACTACATACTAGAATGTTGGTATAAATGCTAAACCAAATAATGTATATGGAAATAATCAAAATAAACCTTTATGATTAGAAAAATAAAATGGAACAATTTTCTTCCTTGTCACTAATTTATGACATACTTATGACTCTTTAATGTACCATACAATCAATTCTTCATGTAAGACTAAGCAAATGGCCAGGTTCTGCTCAGACATGAATCTATTTTGGAAAGGCCAAAGTTAATGTCTTTAGCTTAGTCAGTTGAGCTTGCCAGCCATACATATATATCAAAAAATCATATGAATTGAGTCATTTACCTAAAAGGTTCTTGTATTGATTTAATTAGGAGTAAAATGAAGAGAGAAAACTAAAGAAGAAAAGATGGGGAACAAGGTTGACAAAAGAGAGTACAGCGGAACCTGTCATTAACATATAGTTTAAAATTTGATAGACTAGGAATAAGAAAAGGCACCCATCTAAAGGATTTAATAGTTGAAATTAGGATGTATAAAAAGGATGCACAACTGAAAAGACTCGTTACCTTTACCAGGAAAGGCAGTGGTTATAACAAGTGCCTGTGATGGATTGCTAGCCAACCACTTGTCAGGGTGAATAACATCTTTTCTAAATGATTTTCTTACTAAATAGCAGGCTTAGTTAAGCACTGATGGACCTAAGGTAATGTTTATGAGGCAAGGATTTCTCAAATTGACCACAAGTCCAGTTCAATTTGGAAATATGAGCAACACTGCGATAAGGGAATCCTCTGACTAGAAGAAGCCTTGAACAGGTTATATGTGGGACAAATCCGATTCTTCAGGTGGCAGGAAGAAAAAGCCAAATTGTAGAACAAGAACAATAGACACACCTGAAAACCAATCGGAGGAGTGGGGCCTCCACCAACTTTAATGTCCTTGTATTGCAAACCGGATTCTGTAGTTACCATAGGTACCTTCATTAACCAGAAGCATTAACATATTAGATACCAGCTGTCCTCCATGGAAATTAATTATCAAGTTTCAAACAAAACTCTTCTCAGTTGAATTATGATCTGCTAGTTTAAGCCATGTACAAAGATTAAAGTTACAGCATTACCAATTTATCATCACCTCAGATTTTTCTTTCGCCTTCATTAATAATTAGTTAATGTTCAATGTTGACTATGTATAAATTAGTCCTATACTCCGCAATCATCAGCCCTGCCAATAAAAAATTTCATAGCATCAACTGCAATGCCTAGGTAAACTTTGTTGGATATTTAGCACGGTTAAATTTCTTAATTAAAACACCACTAATGTCTCAGAGATGCAAGGAAAAAGTCATACTTTTGATATTGTTAAATGAGTCAACTAGCTGCCTAAGGATAGAGGAAAAAATTGAAGATAAGGGGGCTATGTAATCTCACCATACATTTTCAAGCTCTTTTTCACAAGCATCATCGCATAGTTTAGGCTTTTCTTCTGGGGGCAAGCCTGCACCATTGGCATCTGCTGAGTTCATTAAGAAGCTTGGAACTCCGAAAAGCAATCCCATCACATCCCTTCGTGTAGCTAAATTCAATCCATTGCTGTGTTTTCTGGTCTTAGAACTTGAGCACCTGACAAGTAGGCCTTGAGCCCTGCCATTTGAAATGACCAGATGATTGGCAGACAGACTCTTCCCAGATGCAGAACCTAACACGGTGCATTCAATGTGAAATTCAAAAGCTAAACCACAGAAATAAAGTTGTAGGCTTTGTATAATAGTAACAATATAACAATCAAATATACCCAAAGAAAGAAAAGGAATATAACAACCAAAAACAGAACAGAAAGAAGGAGTTACATAGTGCTAAACCCAACTCGCACAGCTGTGCCATTAATTGGGTTTATTTATTGTGTAAGAGTTGACATAAGACTGAAATAAAACATTAAGAGGGAACCCAGAAATAAAATAAACATAAAAATGAAAATGCCATTCTCATTTCCATCCTAAGTTCATAGTATGCAGGAATACATTATACATGGGTAGAATTTAGTAGGTATTTTTCCAATTTGCAACACATAATGGAAAAACAAATGTAGTTAGTGGAAAATAAGTAAGAAGAAGGTAAAAAAGATTACCAAGGGGTAGCAGCAAAGATGAAGGAGAAGAAGCCATGCTTAGTTTCTGTGTTTTAGAGAGAGAAAGTGAAGTGAGGATTTTTGTTGACGGCTATCAGTGGATAACGAAATCTTTCCTGCTGACTTGGCCTCCCTGTCCATGCCATACATACATTTTACTCTACCCAACATGCAACCAGTAATTGTTTCGTTGTCTCTAAAACTAACCCTGACTGTCGAAATTTATTACAAAAATGCCATGCACACATATTTCCTAACAAGCGGTGCGGAGCGGTGAGGACTGGTCATCTGGATACATACGGTACGGCGGTTCAGTTCCTTTCAACAGTTTAGGTGTCTCGAATTAAACGAACAAACCCTGTTTCGACCACTTCGACAGTCGCAGGAACATCATCAAACAAATCCCAGGTTTCTTTTTCTCTCTCTAAACTGTCTTTATTTCCTTTGTCTCTTATCTATATTTTTGCCAAAATTTTAGGACCAATGAAAATTAAAAAGAAACCCAAAAAAAAAAAGAGAAAAGATTAAAATTTTTTTTCCTGATATTGTTGTGCTGTCTGCATTTACTGTTTTTGAGGGTGAAATTTGCAGAGGATGTCCAAGATAGTACGTTTTGAGGATATTTTTGTGGTTGATAAGCTTGACCCAGATGGTAAAAAATTCGATAAAGGTAATTCTTCTTTCTCTGGTTTACCCAGTTGAGTATTGTTGTCTTGTGTTTCTTTAGTTGCTTTAGAATGTGGAAGTATATTTTTTTTTTTGTCCTTCTGCATGATAAGAGAGTTTAAGGAAGAAAGATAACATTAACTTGAAACTATTATCTGATAGGAATGTTAGATTTATTGTTGCAAGAGCAAGTTTTCTCCTGCTAAAAACTCCTTTCACTAGATGTTAGTTTCATTTGGATTGAGATATTACCTTTGGATGGCATTAAACCTTGCCCAATTCAATTACTTGTTTAATGCTTAATCTCCTTTCTTCCTCTCTCTTTCTCTCTCTCTCAAACAAGTTCAATTTTTGTGATTCTTAAATCCTAGTTTTTATCTGGAAAAACACATATACGCTTGGACTTTATAGTTTTAAATCAAATATATTTAGAAAATAACTACTTCATGAATCATTCTTAAAATGACACAAAGAACATGAATCATTCTGAGTCTGCCACTCTTCAGCCCCCTTCCCTTTCTTTAAATTTGTAAAGAAAAGCATGCTTTTACATATACTCAGTTAGCTGCAAGATCTGAATTTACGATTGTTTGAGGACCAACTACCTATATCTTGGCTTAACAAGAAACACTTGCCTATATCTCGAACCAAGTCTAAGTGGCATTACTAATGAAGCAACTATTTAACACTTTCAAAACATAGAAAGTTGTAAAAAGCAGAGTCAGGAGGAGCCATTGCATGCTATTTCTTTTGTTTGCAAAACACTTCTAATTAATGCAATTTTTTGGGAAGGAAAAGTTTATGTATTTATCTTTGAATACTTCTCAAAGCTATTTCCTTGCATCTAATGCCTACCATTTGAGCTCCTATACTTAGGAATAGAGGTGCAAAGGAATGTTTAGCTATGGCAGCTATAATGTAGTTTAATATGGCAAATTGATTATTTGCTATACTTTACTCTGAGTGTGTTTACACTGTTCCTGGTTATAATAGTTATTACCAATCCAATTTTAACATATTTTAAATAAGTTCTTTGATAGGCTTTGCCATTTATATTCTTCTATCTCTATATTTGTGCAATTCCTTGTATTGAAGCACGGAGCCAGAACTGCGACATGTTCACGCACCTAGATGTGAATACAGAGGTATATCCTATGCATGTTGGTGACATTCACAATGGCATTGGCTCATACACTGAAATTGGATGGTACACCTGACATGGGCTATTATACTCTGGTAGTCTTCTTACACTTGTAGTTGTATGTGTAACATTTCTTTGTTAATTTCTTTGCTGCAAGAAACGACTTTGTTGTTGTGAATGAAATGTGCATTTAGATCTCCTTAATTCTTATCTTTGGGGTTTGATTTGGATGGTAGCAGTCATTGTTCTACTCGACCTTTTGGGGTTGCTAACAGAAACCATGCTTCAGTTTTCAATTGGTTCAATTGGATATCTTGTGTGCTAACATTTGAATCTAATTTGTAGATGCAATATTTAGATAGTTGAGCATTCTGCTTGCCATGAAAGCTTTTCACAATGTAGATAAACGCATATCCAATCAGACATATATATTTAACTTAATGCATTTCTGTTTCTAATTTCTGATTTAGTTTCTTATGGCTCTTTTTACACAATCTTGTTATAGATTTTGAAATAAATTAAATTATAGAAATGAGCATAATTTGAGTTCTTGTCGAGGCATGTTAACTGCTTTTCTTCTTCTTTGTGTGTGTGTTGGGCACCTGGGGAGGGCATGTTGGAAAGAGAAGCATCTTTTTTTTCTTTTTCAGATGAAAGCATTACAGCTTGAAATTAAGATTTCTACCGAAAGCCTTGCCCTCCCAACCACCATAGTTTACCCCAATTGGCTACTGTGAACTTAATACTATTGGATGCATGCAGAAGTGGTTTGCAATCATAGTTTAATTAGTTAACAATAGCGTCTTGTTAGGCTCAAGTTACAAAAGAAGTTAAATTGTTTGCATGAGTTGCCACATACATTACATGCGATTTCAATCTGTCTTGAGAGTTTCAAAATGAAATTCTCTCCCTTCCAAGTTCCCTATCTTCTCCTCCCTCTCCCTAATCTGTTTTCTATTAGAACTGATCTTTTAATGGCAAGTGATAGGCCAAAATTTGCCCCGGAAAGGAGGTGCAGAATATCAATCTTTCCCATCATCTTCTTTATCCAGCGACACTGACATAGGGTAGCTTTTTCTTTGCTGTGCTTCTCTGTCTGAGAAAATCGTTGCTGCTTAGAAAGGTTCCCTGTTCCTTTGTCCTCTTTGTATGCATAATTAATGTACAATATTCTATTATTTGATAAATAGCTCAATACAACTGCTCAATAAGAGAAAGAACAAAGAGAGAGATCATTTGTTGTCATTTTGAATCTCTGGATTTGGAGCAGCTTGTCAACTATATAATTGGTTTTGCAGGTAACCACAATTATATTACCTATGAGTACTTTTCATTTGTCGGACCAGGAAATGAAACCCTTAGCTTAGTTGAGACAAATTTAACTACATGGCACTTTTTGTTTTTTATAAAAGAAATGGAGCATAGAACACCAAATTTTGGGTCTTTATTGATTTTTTTTCTATAAGTGATCTTTTATGTTGATCTTTGTGGTTGTGCTTTTTTGGAATTGAGTTGGAGCCATGCACTGCTTAAATCATGATGTTGCTTGAATGTGCTTGATTTTTGTTCGGATTTGTTTTTTTTCTGATAGAATTTGGGTTTATAGTGAGAAGTGGCAGAACTGTGAAATGGAAGAAGGAAAGGAAGGAAAGGATAAAAAGATGATGAGATGAGGAAAGGCAGAGTGTGTAGCTATTAACAGTCGCAGGAGACGTGCTGAGAATGGGTTTATGGATTGAGAAAGAATCAGATAAGAGAGAGACTATAACTTCAGAGACAAATATAGTTGTGTGTTTGTTTGTGAGAGAGAGGGAAAATTTTTTGACTTTATAATCTGACACCTGGTAATTATGTGCCATGTATCTCAGGGAAGGCATGGACGTTTTAATGTTTGTAGTACCTGGAGAAAGGAGACTAGTAGAATGTCTTGATCATCAACTAATTAAACCTCCATACCATGATTATTACAATTAGAAATTCTGAGATGTTCTAGTCAGGGAGGTAAAACTTTATGGATAGAATGTGTTTGTGTGTGTATATATACATATAGTTTGTTTATGTGTGTTAACTTAAACATATTACATATACCATATGTTCTTTTGGCATATGCCTAATACAGTGTACTTGTATTCCAGGGTGGGAGGAAGTCTCTTGCAGATAAGTACGAGTGCGTCATGCATGGCAAGCTATACAAGATCTCCGATGATGGTTCAGGGAAATCGCTTAAAGTGTATGTCATAGTACCCAACTTGGCCATTTATATTTTATATTCCACAAGTGTCTTCTGTCTGATGTCTTTGGGCTTGAGTAGTCTTGCTTGATCTCAGAATTAACATATGCTCTTATGTTTCCAGGGAGATGTATGTTTCGGATGGTGGGCTTCTGATGATGCTCAGGGGAGAAGCTTCTCATGTCTCCCAGTTTGAACTTGACCACAGGCTGTTTCTCCTCATGAGGAAGCTGTGAAGCTTTATGATGATTCCTCACATATCACTTAATTAGGGCTAAAATTATTGGCTTGCTTCTATGGGCTATGCTTGGATCAAACAGTGTCTTCAAAATTTTGATTAAAGCAACCTAAAAATAGCAATTCACAGCAAAGGGTAAAATTAAAGGAAAGAAACTTGTGGGAAAAAGGATACCAAAACGATTCCAAATAATATTCTTCCTAGAGAATAATCGGGCAAGGAATAAGAATATTCTTCTTGGCATCGTCCAAGTGTCAGGTACTTTTGTGGTACTGAAATCTTTGATCTTCCATCTTTAACCCAACTGCTTATTTACTTTATTAATATTTCATTTAATTAAATGAAATTGCTCTAGCATCCCATTGAGATATCACCTAAAGATAAATATCACCTAAACCCTAAACCCTAAAAGCAAATGATAAATATTACCTAAAGATAAAATCATATCTGAAAAAAGTGGAGATAACCCACTCAATTAAAACAAAGATAATGACAAATAATTCCAAAAAATTAGGCTCATAACATATAATAATTACTAGTATTTTCTGGTGTAAAAAATGAATAAAAAATATTTTAATCGGTTGATGAAAAAAAAAAGTGGGTTCGAGGCTTTCCAAAGGGTACTTCAGTTTCAGTCATGTTAGGTAAGATGATCACGTGCTGATGCACAAGCACACGGGTTTGCTATGCTTTGTCTCCACGCCATCGGATTTATAAGTCAAACCTGAATGGTTCACGCCTCACGCCTAACCCTTAACGCCGTCACCTTCTTGTCATTGGTCAGGTTTTAGGATTTACTTTTCAGCTTTCGCGATTTCACCTATCGTCGCTGGTTTTTCGATTTTCCATTTATAAATAGCGAACCCTCCGTCTGTTGTAACCAAAAACTAAAAAAAGGGCAGCATCTGTTAACAATGGGGAGTTCAGGACAGATGTCGTGGAGGTTGGAGGATCACCCTAAGCTTCCAAAGCGTAAGACCGTGGCCGTCGTTGTTCTCGATGGCTGGGGCGAGAACAAGCCCGATGAATTCAATTGCATCCATGTTGCCCAAACTCCCACCATGGACTCCCTCAAACAGGTTGATTTCTTACTATCAGTGTTTGTTGCTGAATCTCAATGTAAAAAATTGTTATCTGCTGTGGGTAATCATTAAGTTAACAATTGATATAATCTCTATTGCTATTATTTGGCATGGATCCCTTTTTCTCTATGCAAGTGAGGCTTACATCTTGGAGTTTTTTTTTTTCTTCTTTTGAAAGTTTGGTTTTAGTTTTAGGCTTTTACTGATTAGATCTATGTATTGTTAGTTGAATCTATTGTTGTCATTCTTACATTATCTCTGAACTTAAGAAAGAGATTGGGAAGTTTTTAACATTTGGGTATCTCGTCTGGTGTTAAGTGTTGTATCTGTAGCTCAAATGGCTGGACTCAGATCTACCTTTCTCTATCAAAAAAATGAATTTTTAAGGTATTTAAAAAAATAAATAATGATACGTTTATGTAATCTGACTTTATAATTTGAAAGATGTTTGCTTAATGAGATGGTGTGATTTGTTTGACTAATAGTACAGTGCATCGAACTATTGATATATTTATACATACATACAAATATATATATATATTATTTATTGGGATTCATAATGTACATGTTTGGTGTATAGTTTATATCAGCTTTATTCCACCAATTAGGATGGGGGGTAATGTTAAAAAAAAAGCAATTTATGTTACCTTAAACTAAAGGGATCATAAATAATTTCCATTTTGGGACCTTGTTACATTTTTTTGGTTCATAAAAGGATTCCATATGCGATTATGTAATGATACTTAATTTGAGTGGAATTGGTCTTGTTGATAGGGTGCGCCAGAAAAATGGAGATTAATCAGAGCTCATGGAACTGCTGTAGGGCTTCCAACAGAGGATGACATGGGAAACAGTGAAGTTGGTCACAATGCTCTTGGTGCAGGGCGCATTTATGCCCAAGGGTAAGATTTTAAGAGAACTTGTTGTTTGTGAATATGATTGATATTTTGACAATTTAATTTGATGTAGGCTTTGTTTTACCTTCTTATTTCATATTTTGCATGTGTTTTGCTTTGTGTGCCCCGCCCGCCTTCCCTTTCTTGCCTTCCATGATGGACTTGTTGGCAAATTACTGTGCTGCCAGTGTTTTAACCTATTAATTCATTTGTAACTGTAGGGCTAAGCTTGTTGATCTTGCTCTTGCCTCTGGGAAAATCTATGAGGGAGAAGGATTTAAGTATATAAGCGAATCTTTTGAAAAGGGAACCCTGCACCTGATTGGATTACTTAGTGATGGTGGTGTCCACTCCCGACTTGATCAATTGCAGGTAATAGTTTGGTGATTCAGGACTGGCTCCTAGCTTTTCGTGGTTTGACTGCTCTAATGATAATTATTTTCCATTCTGTAAGGTCATATATTTACTTATCTTTTTCTGCAGTTGTTGCTGAAGGGAGCTAGTGATCATGGTGCTAAAAGAATTCGTGTTCACATTCTCACTGATGGTCGTGATGTTTTGGATGGTTCAAGTATAAGCTTTGTGGAGACTCTTGAGAATGACCTTGCAAAATTACGTGAGAAAGGGGTTGATGCCCAGATTGCATCTGGTGGAGGCCGCATGTATGTCACAATGGATCGTTATGAGGTGAGAAATAATTGTCAGAGTCCTAAAAGCGTGTAGACCAGTTAATGTGATTCTATTGTTTTGCATTAACCATTTGCAGTGGTTCTGTTATTTTCTTCTTTTTTTTTTTTTCAAAGATCTGAAAGAAAGAAGAATTTTGATTATTGTTTAATCACTCTTTGTTTTTCTTTTGTTGGCATTTTTTATTCCTCTATTTTTTTTGGTAGATTTTCTTCCTCTGTTGTTGCTATTGATTTTATGTAAAAGTAAGAACCATTGAATGATTCCTATAACAGTTGTGATAAGGAAGCCATCTCATGAATGATTTTGGCAAAAAAGCATCCTGGTGTGCAAATTTTGTTGGCCCCTTGGCTTGAGACATACTAGAACCACTTGCCTGTGTAACAGAGTGGGTTACTGTTCAGACAAGGCACAGAAGTACCTGATGAATCACTCCTGAGGAAAAGATTCTACCTTGTCCAAATGGTTGGATCATGAATAAAATGTTTTGTCTTTATTTAAATGCATCAAGCAGCTCATTTTTTGTGAATGAATCTTTTGTAGAATGACTGGAATGTTGTCAAACGAGGATGGGATGCTCAAGTTCTTGGTGAAGCCCCTCACAAGTTTACAAATGCTGTTGAAGCTGTGAAGAAATTGAGGGAAAATGCTAATGACCAGTACTTACCTCCCTTTGTCATTGTTGATGAGAACAAGAAGCCTGTGGGCCCGATAGTAGATGGTGATGCTGTTGTTACTTTTAACTTCCGAGCAGATCGTATGGTTATGCTTGCCAAGGCACTTGAAAATCAAGATTTTGACAAATTTGATCGTGTAAGATTCCCTAAAATTCGTTATGCTGGAATGCTTCAGTATGATGGCGAGTTGAAGCTTCCAAGCCGTTATCTTGTTTCTCCACCTGAGATTGAAAGAACATCCGGTGAATATTTGGTGCATAATGGTATCCGTACTTTTGCCTGCAGGTGTGTTTAGCTCAAGTTATTATAATCCATATCTGTGATGTGCTTGGTTTTAAAGAACAAAGTGTTCAAAGGAAATGAGCTTTTTCTTTGATTGATCACGCAAGGGGGAATATGATTTGAGCAGTGGCCCATAGGCCTACATATTCTATCATAGCTTGTTATCAAGCTTCTTTCATGTTACATGTTACCTCTGTATTTACTTTGTAGTTTGGAAATTCCAAGTCTATATACTTATCTCTCAATGTCAAAGTTATTCCAGGCCCCTAGCTGTGATCACCAGGAGAAGGGAAGGTTCATAAGATTTGTCTTCCACCATTTGTCTGTTGTAGTGGTCAAAGAGTTAAATGACTAATTTTATTTTGGAATTATCCTTTTAGTGAACTGTGAATTATAAATTGTTATGTCTAATTATTTTCTTGCTTTGCTGTATGTTAATTCTCCCCTTCCTGGATCAACAGCGAGACTGTCAAATTTGGTCATGTCACTTTCTTCTGGAATGGAAATCGCTCTGGCTATTTCAACCCTGAAATGGAAGAATATGTGGAAATTCCAAGTGATGTTGGCATTACTTTCAATGTTCAACCAAAGATGAAGGCATCGGAGATTGGTGAAAAGGCTAGGGATGCAATTCTGAGCGGCAAATTTGACCAGGTGATCAATGGACTAATACTAAAAAGGCATTCAAATTGATAAGGATGCTGATTTTCCCTTTTCTTATTGGTTTAGGTACGTGTGAACATACCAAATGGTGACATGGTGGGCCATACAGGAGATATCCAGGCTACAGTTGTGGCATGCAAGGCTGCTGATGAAGCTGTCAAGGTATGATGGCTCTAGGTCATTCTTTAATTGTTAGTTGGACTTCCTAATGATTTTATGACATTTTAATGATTTATAATCAGTTATCATTTTGCTTGTAATAAAAAGTATAATTAGAAAGATAAAATGAATGTAGATGTTTAGGGGAAAATGATGTTAAATGGGTCATCCGTGTTGGGCTTCTCTCCAGTTCACTAGTTGAAGCATGGACTTGCACTGTCCAGTCTGCAGTCTGTGTAAGGCACTGGAGAGGGGCCAAACTCAACCTTTATATGATGTTAGTCAGAAACCAGTATTTCTTTTGCTATTTGTTTCACATATCATTGGGTGTATCACTCACTTTTTAATTCACGCCCAAGTTTTTTTATGTTTAAGTTGTATTGGTGTATCCAATTTTACACTGAATCATAGCAAGTCTTGTAGAATGCCCATTTTTGACATTCACACCCAAGTTTTTTTATAGTTAAGTTGTATTGGTATATCCAATTTTAGACTGAAGCATAGCAACAGTCTTGTAGAAGAGCTTTCCGTATTTGATTATATGGTTGGGCTGCAGATGATCCTTGATGCCATAGAGCAAGTTGGTGGAATATATGTTGTGACGGCAGACCATGGCAATGCTGAGGACATGGTGAAAAGGAGTAAGTCTGGCCAACCTCTTTATCACAAGAATGGCGACCTGCAGATACTCACCTCCCACACTTGTCAACCTGTAAGTTTCAAACATCTATCTTGGAAGAAAAAAAAAAAAGAGGAAAAGATCCTGGATGTGAGTCTAGTTTTATCTAATATATATATTGGGGCGGCTTGAGGTGAATTTGCATATTACATTCTATCTATCCTTTTTGGTCAGAAGAAAGAGAAGGGCACATTATCAAAATCTCTTATTTCTTCAGTCAGAATCATTTTTTCTCAATTTCTGATTCGTAGTTTGGATTGTCTGATCAGGTACCTATTGCAATTGGAGGTCCAGGAGTGGCACCTGGTGTTAGATTCCGCAAGGATGTTCCTGATGGTGGACTTGCCAATGTGGCTGCAACCGTCATGAATCTCCATGGTTTTGTAGCCCCTAATGACTATGAGCCAACACTCATTGAAGTAGTTGACAACTAGGGTAGCATGAGAACATGTCCTAGATTATGTATTGCGCTATTTTGCGCTAAGGCGAATGCCAAATCAAACAATTTAGAATAAGTATTTTATTCGGTTGAGGGAAAAATTTTAAATGGTGTATTTTGGATGCCATTTGTGGTTGAGTTATAATTCCGAATTGTGTACGGAAAATTAATTTTGGGCTTCAATGGCCCTAAATTTTACCTCATAATTATCTCTCACTCGTTTTTGTGTCTTCTCCACTGTTGTTTCTTATAAATGGTTAGTTTTAGGCTTGATTGCCTTTCATATATTTATCATAATGTTATCGTATTGCTTTCCCAGTGAAATTTGATTTGCTCATGAGGGGAAAGGAGTGATCGTGGAGACAAGGAGAATGGTGTGAGCGGTGTAGCCGATTTGGGTATTAGCAGTGGAGTTTGAACTCTTGTATGGGCCAAGCCAACAAAACTTCTCACTTTCGATGTAACTCATGTTTTCTTTTCAACATCATTGGGTTTTCCTCTCTCTAAATCGTGGCATATAATATACAGTACTCAAGTTGAGCATATTCCAAATGTCAAGCTTTACAAATTATACCATTTGTATCACGTTAAAGCTAATTTATAATACAAGATCATGCGTAAACATATCAACTTATAACAAAATCAAGTTCCAGATTATTTTGAATTCCAAATGTGGGCTAAGTTTATAATATATATTCTAAGGTTCCTTGGGTATAAAATGTTCTCTATATATAATAATATATTCTGGGGTTCCTTAGGTATAAAATATTCTAGGGTTCTTTGTTTGAAAAAAAATATAAGGTAAAATAAAAAACAATAATGGGATTTGACAAAATATACACTTACCATAATTAGTTTTAAAAAATTTCTCTTAAAAAGAATAATAGTATTAATTATCAAGTTAAGTTTATATGAAAAAACAAGTGTACTCTTTATTATTTATTTTTTAATTTCATATTTTATTTCCTTTTTGGTTTGTATAGCAATACTTGAGTTCCAAAATATTTCCCTCATAAAATATAAATGATATTGCACAATATATGGCTTAACATGTCCTCACCTTTGGGTATGTCAACACTTGCATGCCGAGGGATGCTGTCTCGTTTTTCAAAGTTTGGAATTCTCAGCAAAGTGGAGAATGTCCTTCAGTATCAGTTGGTCCGTTTGATTATATGATATGATATTTGATGTAAGAATGTGAGATCTGATTAAAGTGAAAGAAATTGTCAAAATAAGAGTGACACGCTGGGTTAAATCTAAATGGCCAAGTGACATCGCCGCAATTACTGAAATTGCAAATGATCCGTCTACTGCTTCAGCCCCTACCTTAAGAAGGCTGACCAAGGGCAAGGTCACTTGGGAGTGTCCAGCTGCGGGTTGGTTCTAGTTCAACACCAATGGGGCGGTAGAGGATGTCCAGGACATCTCGGAATTGGAGGGGTGTTACGTGATGAAAAAGGGGCCGTCAAAATGGTCTTCTCTAAGAAAGCAGGTTGAGGAGATGCTAACCTGGCGGAAGCTCTTGCAGTTAGGGAGGCCATGATCCTGTTTGCTGCATCCTCCTGGGCGACTCCACTGGCATCATTATTGAATCGGACTCAATGAATGTGGTCGCCTGGGCGTCACTTCCTGAGATCCCCTTGGAGTCTAAGACAACTCTTCCTACAGATTGCTTTTCTCAAAGGCAGAGTTGCGGGTTGGCAGATTAGGCATATTCTGAGGTCTGGTAATGAGGCAGCAGACAGCCTCCCTAAATCAGGGATTGATAGAGCTCATGATCTTCTTCGCATCTGCCCCTAGCAGTTTGAGTGTTTGTACGACTGCGCTTGGATATATATGCTGTTTCCTTACTGCTGAGTTGAAGTTGCAGGTTTGCTCAGAGAAGAGAAAGCTTTTTGATCAATCTCACTCAGGATAAGACAGCCACCATTCTAGGAACGCTATGACTCCTTTTTTTGGTTTGAAAGAGGAGGAAACATCCAAAACAGTCGTGTTTCTTACTCTTACTTTCCGTGATGTTTTATGGAGGGTAGTTTCTTGCTGATTCTTCATGATTGTTTATATTTTCTGCAGCTTATAGGCTGATTGCTGGTTGATTTTTGTAAACCAGGTTTCAGGAAGGACACCTGGATTGCGTTCTCCCTACCCAGGCCCCTTCTCTTGTTCACGGGGATTCCCCTTTTGATAGTAATGGAAATTACTTAATCTTCAAAAAATAAAAAATAAAAAAAAAAGCATGCCCTCAATTTGGACACCTAGCCAGTCCACCTCTTGTTTTCTATTGATGTCATCGTTGCAGTGATCCTTCAGGACCAAAGCCGATGGAACAAGCTCCATGTGTGCAGTAAAAGCAGGTGTTCTCTAAGACAGTTGCATAGCAGAGAAGATGAGAAATGATTTGAGATGATAGGCCTGCATCAAGGTTTGGGACTCCAATATTGAAATGGGAGAAATGGGGTTTATACATAGCATGGGAAGCACCTGCATCTAAGTGTGTAGTCCAACATATACCAAAAATATTTTGTAAATTTAATCAAAACATATTCTTTAGTTAAATAAAAACGTATATTATAGCAATGGCTCGAGGGATATGTTAAATTATATGAAGGCCACAATAATTCTTTTTTGCATTTGATTAAAATTCAATTAATAGTATTTCATTGTTATTAAAATATTCCTGATTTGAAGTTACTTTCTTTTCTTGCACGATATTTTGGTATAATTGCTTTCCTTATGATTTAGATTTATGCAGTCGAATTGGAGTCTATGGTTTCACAACTTCGATACAAATTTCTTTCCTTAAATACTAAATATAATACGTAACAAGAGAAGGATAAAGAAATATAGAAAATATTAGCTTATATATGATATGCACTACATATATATATATATGATTGATATTCATAAAAACTCATCTCCAAAACATGCTAAATCAAAATATAATTAATTGTACAAATAAAATGAAAAAAATAATATTTGTTATAATTACATCACATTCTATATATAATCCTAAAATAGTTAAAAGAAGAAGACGTAATTTAAGAAATTCGAACCATTGAAATTATAAAACTTAAAAACACTACCGATATTAGAATTAAACAAAATGTTAAACAGAGAAGTTCGAATCGACGCACTTGCGTGCAGCAAGCTCGTCGAATACCAATGAAAAAAATTGTTGGCGGACTACGGTTGATTTCTTTTCCACATGCATGGCAAAACAAATTCCCACATCTGTATTCATAAGTAATCATATTAAGTTTACAATTCTGACTAACTTTTAATTTTATTTTTCCTTTTTTTCTTTTTTTTGGCAGAATTTTGTTATAAACAAAAGTAAAAAAATAATAAAACTTACATCATAATCAATTAAAAATGAGAAAATAATTAAAAGATAATCTTAATTTTACATAAACATATTCAAGAATTTTTTTAGGTGGTGTCATAACTAAAATAATAATAATAATTAAAAAATATAAATATGTTAAAATCCATAAACTAGAATTTTAAAATTAAATAAAATAAGATCTTACATACCAAATTATCTAATTCAACAATTAACAATATGACAATTTTTTATTCATTACTCAAAACTAAATATAAGCATCCGTAAACTATATAAAGTTAAATACAAAAATTAAATAATCAAACGATATATCTACAAAATAAATTAACAAAAGAAAGACTCATAATTAAAAGATAATCTTAAGCTTTGTTTATTGATATTACTACTTGAAAGAAAGACTCCAACATGAAGGTGTGGGATTCCATGGGAGAAATGGGGTGAGAAAGAGCTAAATTTAATTGTGTAGTCCAACATATACCAAATAAATTTTGCAAAGTTTAATCAAAATAGGATCAATACTATATATATTTTAGTATATATAAAAAAACGTTTATAAGAATGGCTCAAGGGATATGTTAAATTTTAAGAAGGCCATAATAATACTTTTTTGCATTTGATTAAAATTCAATTAATACTATTTCATTGTTATTAAAATAGTCCTGATTTGATGTTACTTTCTTTTGTTATATGATATTTTTGTATTTCTTTCTTTATGATTTAAATTTATGCAGTCGAATTGGAGTCTTTGGTTTCACAACTTTACTTTGATACAAATTTCTTTCCTCAAAAGTCATCTTCAAAACTTTATAAAAACCAAAATATAATTGTACAAATAAAATGAAAAAAAAATATTTGTTATAATTACATCACACTTTATATATAAACCTAAAACAATTGAAAGCAGAACGCATAATCTAATAAATTTGAACGAATAAAAATATAATTATTATTAACAAAATTATAAAAACTGTCAATTGGCAAATTTCGTACTGACGCATTTTCTTGCAGCAAGATCGTCGAATAAATGTTCGTTGACTAGGGCTGATTTCTTTTCCGCATGCATGGCAGAACGCATGCCCACATCTGCATCCATAAGTAAGTTTAGAGTTCTGATTAATTTCTAATTTTATTTTTTTTTCTTTTTTTTTTCACAATTTTGTTATAAATCAAAATTAAAATGTAATAGAACCCTAAATCATAATTTTGTTATTTGGACTTAAGGGTGTATTTCTATATTATATATAATACAATTTTAAGAGGAGGAAAGTGGGATCAAGTTCGGGTCATGAAATTCCGATCAATAGGGATTTAGATATCATTATGCATTAAAGGGCGAGCCTAAGGTTTTTCCTTATTCTAGTACAATAGTCTAATATTCTAGTTCCATCACTGTTAAACAAAATAAAGCAAGATGGACATCCTTGTTAACGTTAACCAAGAAGGAAACCACAAATGACAAAAAAGGAGAGAGAGGGATGAAAACAAGAGTATACCTGCAGTCTATTAATAGACAGCCACTCTCTCGCTCCACAGCATTTCCACACTTAGGGCACCTAGTCCACTTCATATTTTCTATCAACTGCCCAGCTAGAACATCGTTCTTATCTCTGAACATTCCCTTCTCTCTACATCCATAACCCGCATGCCATGGACTCTTGCATTGAAAACAAAGCTTCTTCTTGCAATTTGGACAGGTAGATTTGTCTACCTTATCGTTGCACTCGTTTACAATCAAAGCCGAGCAATCTCGATATGGGCAGTAAACGAACCTGTCAGAGTAGTACTCTAAAACAGTTGCACTGCAGAGAAGATCGCACCATTTGTCGAAGAGATGGTTCGAGATGACAGGTCTGCAAGAAATCGGGTCCAGTGAAGAATCGCAGTTGAGCGCGGGGCAGCTGATATTGGCGATATTGTATTCCATCACCTTCGCTTCAATATATTTGGCTATGCAGTCGGAGCAGAAATCATGCTTGCACATGCTTCTGTTCTTGAACTTGTTGTCTGCGCTGACATTTTCGATGCAAATTTCACATGTGAAGTCGGAATCAGGCTCTTTTGATTCGGATATTTCATCTTTTTGGCTTGGTGATTTGGATATTTCAGCTTTTTGGTTTTGTGGGAGCTTTTGCAGCGTGTTTCCCATGTTAGGGTTTGGCTACAATAACAAATAAGTTTAGGTTTAGGTTTAAAGCTACATGGAATTTAGAGAGAGAGAATTACGGTGTAAGTGGAATTCTACTTGGAT